GAGAGAATGGGAAGAGTGGATAGATAATGAACACTGCAGATGAACATATAAGATGAATAACTATCTGAAAGGAGTATATGTTTGGCATTATATGTATGACAATAATCTGGAACAAGGAATGCATTGTGGGGTGGGCTAGGAGAGGGGGGAGAGGAGGGAAGAAAATGTGCAGAAATAAATTAAAAAAATGTTATAGACTACAGCCTGAATCAGGTGCACCTTAGTCTTCAAATTGACATCATTGCTCCTCAGTAATTTGGAGAAGTCCCTGATGACACACTTGCCCAATGCAATATGTATCCTGATCTCCTGATTGTTAGTACCAAGGGTGTTGATTGTAGATGCAAGTCAGATGAAATTGTTGACAATTTCAATCTTTTCACCATTTATCATTATGGGACTGTTCTGTTTTCTCCCGTGCTGCCAAGTTAAATTGAATGGATTTAGCAGCAAATGTGGGAATCTCACTACCATCAAGGAAGTGGAAGCAGAGAGTGCAGCACCTGTCCTTTGAGGTCAGAGATTCCTGCATTAGTCAGGATGGACTCTACCAAGGAACAACAGCAATCTTAGCAGAGGATCAGAGACAGACATGAGACAGAGTTGAATTGGGATTGCTATTGCAAGGAGCCAGGCCCAGGGAGCTTCGCTCAAGCTTGTTGGAGAATTGAGGGGAAACATCATAATTAGCAGGACTGAGGGAACTTTGTAACACTTACTTAAGTTGGTGAGGATGAAAACCAAAGGTTCTATAAGTACACGTGAGAAGCTGTCTGGACAGAGAAATTGTACCCTGCTGCTAATCTAGATTATAACTAGTTAACTTCCATAATGTTGTTGCTGTTGTTATGTGCCGTTGAGTTGCTTGCGACTCACAGCGACCCTATGTACAACAGCCCTAAACTCTGTCCTATGCCAATCGCACTGTCTCTGACACTCTTATCCCAATTACCCCAGTCACTGAATCAATCCACCTCATAGAGGGCGTTCTCCTCCTGCGCTGTCCCTCCACCCTCCCAAGTATGATGTCCTTCTCCAAGGACCGGTCTCTCCTTACAACATGTCCAAAGTATGTTAGATGGAGCCTCAGAATCCTTGCCTCCAAGGAGCCACCTGGTTTAACCCTTTCCAGGATGAATGTTTGTTTTCCTAGCAGTCCATGGTACATTCAATACCCTTCTCCAGCACCACAGCTCAAAGGCATCAATTCTCCTTCTAACCTCCTTGGTCATTGTCCAACTCTCTGATGCATAACAAGTGATAGCAAAAAAATCACATAAAAAAGTGATAGTTGGAGTCAGAAAATCAAAAGGGCCAAACTCGCTCCGCATTTCTTAAGCTCGAGGAACTGAAGAACAAATTCAAACCTCGAGTTGTTATAATTAAGGATGCTTTAGGCAGAATATTAAATGATCCAGGAAGTATTAAAAGAAGATGGAAAGAATATACTGAGTCACTGTATCGAAAGGAATTGGCAAGCACAGAAGAATTTCATGAAACAACATATGAGCAAGAGCCTATGGTGATGAAAGAAAAAGTTCAGGCTGCTTTGAAGGAAACTTCCATAGTTAGCCCCCTAAATATGAATATGGTCCTGTGGTCATTGCAATGGATTTCAGACCCAATAGAGCAATAAAATTGATGTTGGAATTAGTAGATGCAGGAGTATGGGAGACATGATTCATCTAATGGAATTGGTTTTTTCTCTGGATGTTGTTGACAGGGACATTTTCCCTTTGTGAAGGTAGTAGAGGTCAGATATGGCAATCCCCATGCTGCCTACAGTTTGGTAAACCAAAAAATACAAAGCTAAGTATTTTAACAAAAATGTAAAAAACTGAAATTAGAAAACTAAAAGGGAAGAACGTATTCAGTATTTCTCAAGTTAGAAAGAATTAAGAACAAATTCAAGCCCTGAGATGCAATCTTGAAAGATTTTGTGGGTTAAATCTTGAATGACCCAAGATGCATCAAAAGATGGAATACACAGTCACTGTACCAAAAATAACTGACAATGAATCATTCTAGAAAGCAGCATATCATCAAGAACCAATATTGATGAAGAAATTCAAGCTGCACTGAAGATAATGGCAAAAAATAAGGCCCCAGGAATTTATGGACTACCAAGTGACATGTCTAATCTATTGTTCCCATTCCCCAAACAGATGATCCAACAGAATGTGGAAATTATTGGACAATATAATGAGTATTACATGTAAGTAAAATCTTGCTGAAGATTATTTTAAAAATATAGCTGTAATAGGACATTGACAGGGAACTGCCATAAATTCAAGCTGGAGTTAGAAATAGGCTGTGTTAGAAGGAATATCATCGCTGATAACAGATGGATTGTTGTTGAAAGCAGAGAATACCAGAAAGATGTTAACTTCTTTGTATTGATTATGTAAAAACATTTGACTGTATGGATAATAATAAATTATAGATAACATTGAGCAAAACAGATTAGTAAATCATTAAATTGCTAAGACTATTATTGGGATTAATAACGACACATGTAAAGTGCCTGGCATCGAGAAGGGGCTCAGTAAATCACCATCATTATTAAGTAACTATTTTACACCAAAAGATATATTTTAGTAACCATCCATCTGCCAAAACCCCTCCAGTCTTTGAAGAATTCACAGTTGACAGTACATATGCTTTTATAACAAATTAATACTTTTATTTTTAAATGAAAACTACATACACTCACTCCCCCACATACAACTGTTTTTTTTTAAAGTCTTTCTTGAATGAACGATCCACAAACATAAATCAACTCTTCATAGATCAATATTTTTTCCTACCTCCCACAGTTCCACTTGGATTCTTATGCATTCAGACACAGAGTGCTCTATTCCCAAACTGCCTAAAACGAACGGAAAACACTGTACTTTTGAAAATAGAATAAGTCCTAGAGAATGAGGCAATCCAAGCGAGGGTGCAGGTGTGTGGCACACCTCAAGAGGGTTGAGATCTTTGTTTATTTTAAGAAGTGTATTTCTACTCTGACGCACACGGATGGCCATGAATCACACTTAAATGGATGGTAATTGTTGAATTAGAGTACATGGACATTGTATGTCTAAGGAATAGTATGACCCATTGTCCTTTTTGTCTGCAAATGAAAGGAGAAAGCCCCATCCTGAAGTTGTTATGTACTGTGGAGTCAGAACTGACCCATAGCTGACCCTCCAGCAGGTTTTCAGAGACAGTAAATCGCAAGGGAGTTATCCATCCTTCTTCCCACGCAGGAGTGGATTCGTGCCTTTGGATGCGCTCTCCTCATCACCAGGCCACCAGAGAGTAAATTATACACCCACTACCTTGGAACCGATTCTAATTCATAGCCACCCTACAGCATAGAGAACTGCCCTATAAGGTTTCTGAGACTATCTAAACAGATTGCCTACTCTTCCCTCCACAAAGTGGTTGATATGCTGGAACCACCCACCCCGAGGGGTGGCAGTGGAGTATTTTAATCTCTGCAATCAGGATTCATAAACCATACCAAATATAAGAGTAAGGCCAACAAATTGCTAATACATGCATAGTACTGAGTTCTGGCGGCCTAGTGGTAAGAAGCTGTACTGCAATCCCTCCCAAAGGCTCTTGGTTCTAATCCACCAGTTGCTTCGTGGGAGAAAGACGCACTGGAAGGTCAGCTGTGGGTCGGTTCCGACTGGAGGGCACAGAACAAGAAGAACAAGGCTAGGAAGTAACTTGCCCCACCAATACCCATGGGAGTTAGGGTGCCACGAGAGAGAGATTGGCAGGGGCATCCATTACGGACATTCCAAAGCAAGCGAGGATCCCAAGCCGGACAGAAGCAGCACAGGGTCTATCCTACTACAGGTCTCCTTCCATCTCAACCTCCCGCTATGCCAGGCCTGACGTCACAGGTGACTCTGGCAGGACGAGAGACCGCCTCCAGGAGAAACTGCCCCACAGGAGAAACAGCCACGCGCGCTTCCTACCGCCTGCCCTCCCTTCCGTCCAGGCAGCGGAGAGCGCGCGCGCGGGCGCGAGTCTCCCAGGACTGAGCGCGTGCCCGCGAACTCCCCGCAGCCCCGTGCTCATCCGGGTCTTCGGGAACTTCAGCCAATAGCATCATTTTACAGCCACCGGGGGCGGGGCTAAGCCTTTCCTCACATGGGGCCTGTGGTCATTGTTGGCGCCAGTGGGGACGGTGACCAGAAGGCTAAAGAAAGGACCAGAGGCAGGGATCCCAGCATCAGGGTGAAGATCGGCAGTCCTGAGCGGCTGCTGCCGTCCAGAAGCGACCGAAACACGCGCAGATTGCCAGCCAGAGCCAGTGTAGTAAACACACTTCAGAAACGTGAGGTGCCGGTGGTCACGTGGGGCGCGTGATCGCCAATGAGGAGCCGGGGGCGGGGCTTAGGCCGCTGACGCGGTGGCCGCGGCGGCGGAGTCACCAGGGCAGCCTCGGGATCGGTCACCCACCGGCAACCGTCCAGCGTCGTCGACCACCGCCTCTGCCTTCCATCCTCAGCGCGTCTCTGCCGGGCTCCGAGGCAGCTTGGCTGATCGCGGCCGAATCCCTTCTCCGTGCTCTTGGCGACTCACCTGCGGCGGGCCGCTTTCTCCGGGGGGGCCGCCTCGGGGCGAGGTTTCCGTGACGAACCTCCCGGGGCCGGCCGTGCAGGCGCGGGCCGTCGTGGCGGCTCGGGCTCCTGGAACTTGCTTGTCCTCGGGGGCTCCGAGGCCCTTGAAGTTATTATGCATCGCGGCCCGGGGCTGGCGGCCGGCGCCGGGTCCTAAAGGGCGTCCCCGCGGGACGGGGCAGCCTCCATTCATCTTCCGAGCGCGCCTTCCGCGCCCGCCGGTCCTCCCGTCCCACTCCCCGCTCCGCCGCCCCTTCCTCACTCCCCGGCTACGCCGATTCTCCTGGAAGCGAAGGTGTCGGCTATGAGCCGGACCCTGCTCCTCTCCTGAATTCCTCTCTGGAGTCGGTGGGCGCCGACTCGCTGGGCGCCGGCATGGGGGTGAACGCGGTGCACTGGTTCCGAAAGGGGCTCCGGCTGCACGACAACCCGGCCCTGAAGGAGTGCATCCAGGGTGCCGACACCATCCGCTGCGTCTACATCCTCGACCCCTGGTTCGCCGGCTCCTCCAACGTGGGGATCAACAGGTGGCGGTGAGTCACCAGCCCGAGGGACGCGCGTGCGGGGGTTTGGGCAGTGCGATCGGACACATCGCGAGAAATCTTGTCGCCCCCTCCCCAGCCCCGGGGGTCTCCTGGCTTGAAACGTGTCAAAGCTGGGGGTGCTGCATGCTAAATGTCCACTGATCTAGACTTGACGTCTCTGGCGCTGGCCACAGGGTGTTGACCTCCCCGGCACACCCTGGCCGGCTGCCCTGAGTTGCATACGTCTCTCCCTGTGCTCCTAGGAGGCCCTTGCGTGGATGGCAAAGCCTCAGGACCTGAGTTCAAGAAACACTCTTTTCATGCTTTGCAGCCTGTAGGACATCGGAGAGGATTGTTGGGGTTTTTTTCCCTATTTACGTTTGCGTGCGTGGGCAACTCCTCGCGTGGAGAACCACCGTTCATTTCCACGCTTCGCCTCCCTGCGTTTTGCCTTCCACCTTGAGGTGACTGTCGGAAAAGCAGGGAAGCAGCATTTGGTGACTTGGCTCCGCCAGCTCTCTCTCTCCCCCCTTCTCTCTCTCTCCACTCCTCCTTGTGGTTAAGGAGACAAAGGACACTCTTCCTGTTGAAGTGAGACGCACTGGCCTTCTAGGGATCAGAGAACTGGAAGGAATCCCAGACAATCTTGATGTCCTTTTCCTGAAATACCAAGCTGGGTGATTGAATTTGTTGGACTCCCTGGTGGCCCGGGTCTAATCTGTGCAACAGGTTATTGATCACCCGTTCTATTCCGGGCGCAGCTGTAAATGCCAGCAATGGGGCAGCAAGCAGACAGTTTCTGTCCCCTTTGATCTTTTGTCCCTGAAAGTACAACGTGTGGTTATTTTTAGGTTCTTTGTTTTGGGTTTTGGTTTTTTTTGGTCGGGGTTTTTTTTTTTGTGCTTTTTTATTCCCCCTTTAGGAGGGTGTTTTCTAGGAGATAGTAAGTGCTATGTGGAAAAATAGAGCAAAGGCCTAAGGAACGCAATATTGGGATGACAGTTTCAAACTTGGTGATCAAAGGAAAAAGGCTTACAGATAAGGTGGTATTTGAGCAAACACTGAAAGGTGATGAAATATGTGTCTCCAGGGGAAGTACATTCCAGGCGCAGGGAACAGTTAGGAAAAAGTCCTGAGGCGGGAGTTTGCTTGCTCACGGCAGAGGAGGTCAGTGTGACTTCAGCTTAAAAGAGGGGTGGTTAAAGCAGTCAGCTGCAAGCCAGGAGGTTTGTGGTTTGAACCCACCAGCATAAAGATTGAACTCCTCAGCATAAAAATGAGGCAGTTTGTTTCGGCACAGATTACCACATTGGAAGCTCTATGGGGCAGTTGCTTCAGTAGATGAAGCCAGAGATGTGATAGGGTCATACTGAGTAGAGCTTTATAGGTACTTGTCAAAATTTGGGGGTTTTCACTCTAAAAGTAAAAATAATTGCAGAGTTGTGAGCAGAAATGTGATGTGATCTGTTTGAAAACATTTTCTCTGGCTATGATTCTATGAACAGTCTTAGGAGTGGGAGTGGGGAATGGAGGTCGCCAAAAAAGCAGATCCTTTAGGAACTATTGCTTTCATGCAATGAAAGATCAAAGAAAGATGATCAAGGCTAAGGGCTTGGACCATGGTGATAATGGATGTGGTGAGTCACTTACTGGGTCTGTTTTGAAGATGGAACTTACAGTATTTGTTTGCAGATTGGATATGTGGAATGAAAGAGATTGAGTTGAGAATGATACCTTCATTTTTCTCATGAGAGACTAAAAAGGAGTTAAGAAAGAAGCTGTTGAAAAGGGGATTGAAGTTCTCTTTTGAACTTGTTGAGTTTGAGAGTCAAAGACAGGAAGACCCTCGGCGAGATGGGTTGACACAGAGATGATGAAGATGGCATAGTAGGCAAGGTTCCAAGCTGCTGTTCATAGGGTCTCTATCAGTCAGAGTTGACTTGACAGCACCTAAGAACAACATTACCTATCCAAGTCAGAACTCAAACTCATTGGCATTCGGTCAGAACTGTCTCATGACCCTCCAGTGGATTTCCGAGGTTTAACACCTCGTGGGAGGAGATTACTCATCTTTCTTTCTTTCTTTCTTTTAAAAAAGTTTCTTTGTGTGTGTGTGTGTGTGTGTGTGTGTGTGTACCGTCAAATTAGATTGACTAGTACAGGAGGAGATTGCCCCTCCTTCTCCAGCAGAGCATCTGGTGGATTCGAACCGACCCATCTTTCTTTCAAGGAGCAACTAGTGAATTCAGACTGCCTTTGACTTAGCAGCTCAGCTCCCTGCACTGTTCAATCAGAACTGACCCTGAGCTGGCCCTCCAGAAGGTTTTCAGAGACCTTTAATTGCGTGAAAAGAGATTGCCCATTTTTCTCCCGCAGATCAGCTGGTGTATTTGAACCATATACCTTTGGGTTACCAGCACAACTCCTTACCATCAAGCCACCACAGAGCTCCCTCCATATCTAAGTTGTTGTTATTGTATGTGCCATCGAGTCGCTTGTGACTCATAGTGACCCTATGTACAGGAGCCTTAAATGCCGTTCTATCCTGTGTCAACATCGCCGTCTCAAACACACTCATAGAGATAGCAAATATATGGTTGAATATACCTAGAGTTCTAGACAGGCAAAAGATATAAAGTGGAGAGTTGTTTATATATAGATTTAAAGTCATTTATTGTATATCTGTCCATTCACTCATTCAACAAATATTTTTTGAGCACCTGTTTTAGGTGCAGAGGGATTCAGCAGTAAACAAAATAAACAAAAATAATCCCCCCTGCTGGTGAGACTGTGTAACAATTGGACTGTATGAGAATAGTAAGAGAACATATCTAGTAAGGAAAAAGAAGCAGTCTGAGGACCAAGGCTGGAGTACTGGGATGGTTAGAAATTGTCAAGCTGTGGAAGACCCAGCATAGAAGACTGAGGAGCAGCAGCTGGTACCTAAAAATAAATTCCAGTGTAGTTTGGGGGTTTTGAATACAAGTAAAGAAGATATTTCAAGGATGTCGAGGGCTGAAAAAGAAAAATTAGATTTAATATTTTGCTCTGTTAGATTTAATAATTTAGCTCTGGTGGCCTCAGTGGCAAGAAGCTACATTGCAGTCCTGAAGGCATGGAGTTCAAGGCCACCAGCTGCTCCAGAAGGATGGACCGTCTCCTCCCATGCGATTAACTGGATTTACTGCCTCTGACAACCTGCCGAGTCCAGAGTGAAGGCTGCACAGTGGGGTGGGCTTGCGGGGAGGGATTGTGTAACAATGAAAGAATTTTTCTTTTACTTTTCAAAGAGAAGAGCTAACTGGGGTGTGGGGAGGGGTGGGCAGGGAGGAAAGTATAACAGTGAATGAATGGAAATCCAAAGTCTCTGTAAACTTTCATTAACATGAATAATAAAAACAAAACAAAACAAAAACTGCCAGAGGGTCAGCTGTAGGTTGGTTCTGACTCTTTGGTAGACAGCAGCAAAACAATAACACAATATTTTGAGATCATATGCAAACTTTTTTTGAGTGACTTCATTAGTATCAGTGGTGAAAGCCTTTTTTGGAATAATAGCTCAAAAGGACTAGGGAGAAGGAAGGTTGGAGGCAACTTTCTTTTAATTTTTTCTTGTGATTTGAGTAAAAGTTAACAGATCAGTCTGTTTTCCCTGTAGTCATTCATGCACATTTCATTGCAGACTTGATAGTTCTTCCCACTTCTTCCTGGTGTTTCCTGTGTCTGTTCATCTTTTATATCCCTTTCCACCTTCTGAACTTTATCTCAGGGCAAATACTACTTCCTCAGCCTCCTATAGTTGCTTAGTCTGAGAAGTGGATTCCTCTCTGGTGTTATTGATCGCCTTCTCTTGCTCTGTCCTTTGTTGGCTGACACTCCTGGTGACATAGTACATCAAGTGTCAGGCTGCTAACAGAGGGGCAAGGGCATCAACTCCACCAGTCGCACTAAGGGACGGGTGATCCCCTCCTGTAAGGATTTGCAACCTCTGCATCCGATACAGGGTCACTGTGAGTCAGAATCAACTCAGTGGCATTGGGTTTAGTATTTTGTTTCTTGTTTGTCTGAGAGTTGAGTCATGGGGGTGATTTCCATTCCCGACCTGAAGGATGACTAAGGACTGGAGTTCTTTAGTCCAACCAATCCGTGTCAGACTAGTAAGGTGGTTCTTAGGATTTTGAGTTCTCTTTCACATTTTCTCCACTCTTTCAGGGGCTTTTGTGTTGTGATCCCTTTCAGAGTGGTCAGCAGCAATAGCCGACACCCTCCAGCTCTCTCAGGATCACGGAACCGGAAGCTTGCAGACCCACTAGTTCTTTGGTTTTCTTCTCTCTTCTCTGCTCCCTAAACAGTTCTTTCAAGGAGTTTGCTATGAAAGAGTCAGGAAAATGGTATGTAGAAGGGATATGAACTTAAGAGGATTTCTTTGTAATGGCAGAAATCCCAGTATGTTTGTATGCTGGTGGGAATGAGATGGTAACTACAGCTTTTTTTAAAAGCTGATCTTGAAAAAAGGTAACAAAATACTGTATTGTAATAGATGAATAAAATCTTACAATATAATTACTCCTTTTTCAGAAGGTTGTTGTGAGAATAAATTAGCTTTTGTAAAATGTTTAAAAGAGTGAGTAGTGTTAGTAGTAAGTACTTGCTTGTTTTTTGCTATTAAGTTAGAGGCCTTAGATGAGTATTATCTCCTTAAATGCCATTTGTCAGGATTTTTTTCCTCAAGAAATGTGTATGTTTGCAGAATCTAAACCAAATTTTTATAAGATAAAGGTTAGATCTTTTTATTTTTATACATTCAGCAGTTAGCATTGCCAAATAATGGGCAAATTAAAACTGGAAAGCACAGTAGCCTTATATTGCTCTTTTAAAAATAGTTTTTCTGTTTTAATTTTTTTTTTTAGTAATATATATTGCCCATTCTGAAAGATGGGTAAGTATGTAAGTAATAAATAGAGACAGATAGCTCTCTGCCTCTGAAAACTTAAGTTCTGAAAGGGCAAGGACTAAGTTTAATTCAGTCTATTTTCATAGTATCAGATTCAGTGATTTTCATATGGTTGCTGTTGTCAGATCAAAACTGACTCAGCTAATTTGTCAGTAGGTTTTCCGAGGCAGTTAATCACATCCAAGAGGAGTTTGCCCATCCTTCTCCATGGAGCACCTGGCATATTTCTTTGAACCACACACCATTGAGGTGGCAGTGCATACAGTAGTTGTTCAGTAGCTTTTTTCCATGAAATGACATCTCAGAGTTAATGTTTTTTTTCTTTCCTTTTTATGTACTGTTAAATCAGATCCAACTGGCACAGGACTAGATTGCCTCTCCTTCTCCAATGGAGCATCTGGTGGATTCGAACTGCTTGCCTTCGAGATTGTAGTACAGCTTCTTGCCACTAGGCCACCAGAGCTCCCTAATAATTTTATATTTAGAAAGCTTTATTACTTTCCCTGATGACTATAGGATAAAGCCTCAAACTCTTTGCCTTGGAATTTAAGATCTTTTGGGTTTTTTATCTTGTCTCTTCGCTGAGATGTTATCTTAACGCTTTGGGTGTGCAGAGCGAGCTCTGCTTCTTTTCCCTGACAGCTGTGGTAGTTCATTGGTACATTTCTTATCTTCCAGAACTCCAGACCCAGATTTAATTCCTAGTCTGTACATCCTAAGTGTAGCACCATCTCTCTGCCAGTGGAGGCTTGCTGGCGTGTTGCTGCAAAGGAATCTTGTATGCTTCTTTCTTACTGCCTTTGTACACTTAAGTTTCTTATATTTTCAGTGAAACAAACAAAGAAATGCGTGTATTTTATCTATTAAGGACTTTAACAAACTACTTTTTGCTATTGGTATTATCTCAAAAAAATTTTCAACATTTGATCCTGGACCATTGAAAAACACCATCTTTGGAATTGAACACTAGTTCCTCCCTTGCTTTGTCTCCTATAAAAATGTCACCACAGAAACACTTGAACATGGCACCTTTGTTCATCACAGTCAAAAGGTGGAAATGACCCAAGTGTCCATTAGTTAATGAATGGATAAGTGAAATGTGGGTTTTTTATATATTCGAGAGAGTATTATTTGGTCACGTAAAAGAGTAAAGTACTGATTTATGTTGCAACGTGGATAAACCTTGAACACTTTAGTGAAAGAAGCCAACCAAAAATGAAATAGTATACTAGAAGAAAAATCAGAGATGAGACTTAAAGGAAATTAAGAAAACATTAGAATCATGTGAGATGACATCAAAAAGAACAAAATACATATGATTAGAATTCCAGAGCATGAGATGGGCAGAGAAGTCACCAAGTAAATTGTGTAAGAGGCACTAGAGGAAAACTTCCCAGGATTTATGAAGAACAGAAAAGTCTACATTCAAGAAGCTCAGTGAATGTGAAATAGACTAGAACGAAGCTCTGGTTACCTAGTGGAAAGAAGCTGTGCAGCTACCCAAAAGACAAGCAGTTTGAGACCACCAGCTCCTCCATGGGAGAACTATGGGCAATCTCCTTCCATGCAGTTAACTCTGAAAACCTGCCTGAGGGTCAGCCATGGGTCATTTATGACTCTGGTACACACAACAACAATAGACTGAAAAAGGAACACATCAAGACATAGTCAAATTCTCCAAAACAAAAAGTAAAGATAGAAAAGCAGTGTGAGGAAAAAAGGAGTCACCTACAAAGGCTAAACAAGTAGATTAAGTTCTGATTTCTCAGCAGAAACCATGTGAGCAAGAAGACAGTGCGGTGGCATATACAGAAAATTGAAAGAAAACAATTGCCAGCCAAGGATCCTATACCCAGCAAAGCTGTCCGTCAAATATGAAGAAGAAATCAAGTCATTTTAAGGAAAGAAGGAACTTAAGGAATTTGTGAAAACAAGATCAAAGCTACAAGAAATTTTAAGGGAAGTCCTTCACAGAGTCATCAGATGAAACTGGATGTACCATAGTAACCAGGAACAAAAGAAAAACATAGCAAAATGGCAAGGATATAACCTGGCCTGTCAATAATCATACTTAATGTGAATGGACTTACTGCACCAATCAAGAGAAAAAGAGTAGCAGAATGGATAGAAAAAAACAAAACCCAAAACCCATCAATATGTTGCCTATAAGAGACACATCTAAAAAACGAGGAGAAAAAGACTCAAAAATCAAAGGCTGGGGGTGGGGCGAGGGGGGTGGTGGATACCAAACAAATAGTATTCCGTGAAAAGCAGAAGTGGCAATACTCATCTCTGATAAAATAGACTTCAGAATGGAAACTACCATAAAAAAATAAAAAAGGACACTCTATAATGATTAAAGGCACAGTAAATGAAGAAGAAATAACCTTGATCAACATCTATGCACCAAATGATAGACCTGCGAAATACGTAAAACAATGGTTAATAAAATGAAAGGAAATAGCACTAAAATAGTGATAGGAAATTTTAACACGCCACTCTCACCAAAGGATAAGTCAACTTGAGAAACTTAACAAAGGTGCAGAAGATCTAAACTATACAATCAATCAGTTTGACTTTGTGGATGAACTCAGGGTACTTCACCCACGTAAAAGTCAATTTACTTTTCCTCTCAAGGACACATGGAATGTTCTCCAGAATTGATCATGTATTAGGACACAAAGAAAGTCTCAGCAAATTAAAAAACCATTGAAATAATACAAGTATCTTCTCAGACCACAATGCCGTAAAACTAGAAATTAACCACAAGAGGAGAAAGCTTATAAAACCACCAATAAGCTTTAATAACACTCTGCTAGGGCACAATATGATGACAGAAAAAAAATAAAGTTTCTCAAAACAAGTGTAAATACAACGTTCTCTGGGATACAGCTAAGGCAGTCTTCAGGGGGCAGTAGGCACACATAAAAAGGAAGGAAGAAAGCAAAATTAATGATCTAACTCAACACCTACCTCAAACAGAAAAAGAACAAGAATCTATCCCCACCTCCTTTAGAAGAAAGGAAATTATAAGGACAAGATCTGAAATCAGTGAGATAGAAAACATAAAATTGAAACCATCAACAAGACCATGAGCTGTTTTTTTAAAAGGGTCAGTAAAATTGACCAACAACTGGCAAACTCAACCAGAGAATGAAAAGAGAAGACACAAATAGCTCATTTAAGAAATGATAGAGGTGATATCACAATAGAACCAGATGAAATTAAATTTATACTATCAGATATGAAAACTTATACTCTGATATGGAAATAGGAATGGCATCTACTGCCTAAACAACATGCCTCTGGAAACTCTATGAACTTTGATAAATGTCGTAGAGGGACTTCAAGCCTTTTGTTTATAGTGTCACTTTGAGTCATGCTTGACTAGAAGGCAATCAACAACAACAACATACTCTGATAAAGTTGAAAATTTAGAGGAAATGGACAAATTCCTTGAAACTCATGCTCTGTCCAGATTGATATTGACAAATATAGAACACTTGAACAGATCCTTCGCAGAAGAAGAAACTGAGCAGGTGATAATAAGATTCCCCCACAAAAAAGGCCTAAAGCAGATGGCTTTATGACTAAATTCTACCAAACATTCAGAGATCTACCACCAATTAAATTATTTAAAAAAAAAATAGAAAAGGAAGGAACACTCCCAGAGTCATTCAATGAAGCAAGCATAACCCTAATACCAAAATCAGGCAAAGATATTACCAAAAAAGGAAAACAGACCAATAGTTATAAAGAATATTGATACAGAAATCCTTAACGAAATTCTGGCCAATAGAATCCAAAAGCATACAGAAAAATAATTTATCATGACCAAGTGGGATTCATAACAGGTATACAAGGATGGTTCAACATAAGAAAAACAATCTGTTTAATTCACCACATTAATAAAGCAATTAACAAGAACCACATGATCCTAGCAGTTGATGCAGCAAAGATCTTTGACAAAATCCAGCACTGATTAAAACACTCAGAAAGTAGGAATAGAAAGTAATTTCGACTAAAATAATTGTTGCAAACAGGAACCAAACAAGGATGCCCACTGTCACCACTCCTATTCAGTATTGTCCTGGAAGTACTTGCTAAGGCAATATGGTAAGGGAAAGAAGAGGCATCCAGATCTGCAAAGAGATGGTGAAACTCGCTATATACAGAAGATATTTGGAGTTAGTAGACCAATTTAGTGACGTGAAAAGATACAAGATCAATATATAAAAGTAGTAGAATTCCTCTACAGTTATAAAACACAAAGAAGGAAAATAAGAAAACTATACCATTTACAATGTTGTTAAGTGCCATCGAGTTGAGTACAACTCATAGTGACCCTATGAACAAGA